CTGGATTTCTCCCTTGGTAGAAATAACACTACCACCCTAAGCAGAGTTGTGGGCAGTCCAGATTAGAATACTCAATTTCCAAGACTTTCAAGATTCTGAAAATGGCGTAGCAACACTTAGTTTGCATAGAATATGTAAGAGACAGCATACCTATATCAGTGCTCCAATATCATCATCCCAAAGCACAATCAAACATCTTCCTAAACTACCCTTACAGAGATGGACCAGTTCTGTCAACCTTTCCTCTTATGGAAGGCTTCCCAGTTCTCTGATCATCTTTGTTGCCCTTCTCTGAACCTTCTCCTGTCTGTCCATATCTTTGTTGCATAGTGGGGACCAAAACTGAAATTTGCCTTCTGGGTGTATCCTGACATGTGCTGAGTAGAGTGGGATAATGCCATCTTGATCTCTGCTGGTGATGCCCTTGTTGGTGAAGCCCATCATCCTTTTGGCTACCCTTACAGAGAAGGACCCACAGAGGCACCTCTGTACTGCTCTCCAGTACTGGAAATCTTTGAACCTGAGCCTGTCACTATTTTCTATTATCGGTGTTTTTATTAAAAAAAGTGTGTTATTCCATAACCTGTTTAGCATAAGTCCTTAAGGGCACTAACAGTTGCTGGCAGCAGATAACATACTCAGTTGAGGGTAGGGAGATCCAGCAGGAAGCCTCTCTTTCTAAATTGTAATAAAAGATTCAGCTGAAGTATTCTGTTGGCATATGTCCCTGAACAAGTTAGTTGAACTCTGATACAATGGATTGTTCAGTAGAGTCACCATAATGGGACACCGAGAGACTGTTGGGCACAAGGGTCTCAGTTTTTCTGGAGTGTTGACTGATTGATTCAACATAAAGGGTTCAAGGAAGCTCCCTTTTCACATGACACAGACTGAGTGTGTCATAAGATAAATCATACAGTTTGTTTTAGGCCACAATGAATGATGCATATGTATATGTACCTGCTGTATTTTTAAATGTTTCTCTGAGTCTCACCTTACATGCCCAAATCCCAAATCACACAGCAAGGGAAAGGCTAACATTCTCCACTATCAGATTCAGTCTTCTTATAAATAATAAAAAAATCCATAAAACTTTTGATCCCAAAACTACAAATACACCTTCTCAAACAACACAAGAATTATTTGGGTTTTTCACTAGACTCCAATGAATTGAATCTGATTTGACTCATCAGAGCTTGCTGATATGAGTCAACTAAGAGTCAACTCTTTAGTTGTATTTCCATGACCAATTTTTTAATGAGGTCACTGTTCTGATCTTTCTCCTCTTACTCATTCATCTCTTCCTAAGTCCTGATCACATTTTTGCAGTGCACTTGATAATTATCAGTTTAAATCAGGCAGGACACATTCACTTGGGGAATACAAATGGAAGTTACAGCATCTCTTTGCAAAACTCTTGAAATTATCTGTCTATTTTGTGCTACTTTCTGTGGTAGGGGTCATGGAAGTAGCAAAGCTAGAAAAAAGATTTAAAAATATCTCAATGTAAATATTATGGTGAGAAGCATACATTTCATGATCTTTTTGGTTTACTGAAATGTTACTTCCCCTATACTCTTCTTGTTGAGAGCTCTAGCAGATTTGTCCAAGGTGAATGGGTAGAAAACTCAGTTTTCTGGCAGGGAAAGGGGACTTCCAAGGCTGGAGAACTCTTTTACAGCTGGGGCTCAAAACAGCAGCAGTCCATGGATGTCAAGGAACTGACTTGCAACTAACAGTTCTGTCACAGAAATAATTATTATGAAATTTTTAAAGTTATTCTCAACTTTTTCGAGCAGGAAGAAACAGAGGAGTTTGAGATAGGATCAGCAACGATTAAGAAGCATTTGCAATTTGAAGAGACAATGTAGGGACGCATGAGGAATGTGAGGCTCCTGACTCCCATCTGGGGAGTGGTCCTCTGAGTCCCCATCACTGTCACTTAAGGGAAAGCTAAGGAAGGAACTGAAGATGTACAAAAGGCTTCTCAGATTCAAAGGTCTCGTCCACAAGCCCTGGCTGAAGATAAGTTCTCCCTGGACTCAGTAATACTAAAACTTAAAATTTTGCAGTAGAGACAGGCTGTTTTTCCTTCACTGTTGGGGGCAATCAGCAGAGGCTGGTACAGATACGCTTCAGTATTTTCACTGAACGCTGGTAGAAACTCACATGTTGCTGGTGGTTGTAGAGAAGTTCATGCTCGTCAAAGACTGTACTTATTATGTATCATTAGCATTAATTCCCTAAGTATATAACTAATATATTCATAACCTAATTCCACACTATCACACAGGAATTATTTCTAACCTATACTGTATCTATGTAACACAGACATCTGAAGACCTTAGTGACTGAGGACTGAGGTACCTTAGGACTGATTTTTGAGCATCTTTTCTTCCAGCTCATTATTATAAAGTCAGAGATCTCTATTAGGGCACAATAGGAGTTTAGGAAAGAAATCAAAACCTGTTTGTGGCTGACAGGACTGAACATGCAACATCCAGACCGGTGATTTTTCTACTTATAATTTGAGCTCTGAGAATAAAGATTTTTAAATAACAGACAAGAATTTCTGTTTTAGCAAGCTATTGCCAAAATCAGTTTCCTTGAAAGGAGAATAAAGGTGCACATACAACAAATGGAGAGAGGAAGGATGGTCAAGCAGTTAGGTCATAAGCTAAATGGGAGGATCATGATTTCTCAGTTCTGCCTCTTCCACATTTAGTGAGTGACTGAGGGACTTTTCTCCACATCCTCCCTTTTCAGAACGCTCTAGCTGGCTTTTCCATTTTGTGCAAAACTCCTAGACAAAGCAATCTATCAAGTGCCAAGCTGTCTTCACTCACATTGTGACTGCTCTGAACCTCATATTTAAGATAGGGACTACCTAAAAGCATATCATCTTTCTCAGTGTCACAGAAGGCCTGCCTTCTGTTGCAATAATTCTTCTCTTCTCTGTTCTGCATGAGGTAGGGAAATTCCTCAATTGTGTTGGGATTAAAGCAAGCAGTCCTGAACAGAATGGCTCTCTTACATATTGGCTGATTTGACTGAAAATTTATGTAATTAATTTAAAATGAAATCTAGGCTTAATCACAGAACAGCAGTGGCTATCCTGACAAAGTAACTACTTCCACCACAATTTTGTTTTGAAATGGGTGTGCAATTTACTTATACAGATTTTCTAGTAATTGTAATGCAGTAGCCACTGTTGCAACCCACCCCAGAAGGCAATGGTAACCCAGGTTCTTGTTAATAGACCCCTTGGGGCAGATTAGAGTGAAATGACACTGAATGATCAGTGTTTGTAAATATAGAGTTTGTTGGTTTATTTTAGAACAATTTGGTTGCAAAGGAAAACAGACATGTAGCCATTTTGGTTGTTGTTATCTATATAGCAATACAACATAGAAAAAACACTTAAGGAAATCTATAAGGAAAAGAAGGAGAAAGAAAGGATGAAAATAGAAAGACATATAGACACCATATGTTGGATTCAGCAATGAGACTTGCTAGTTGTAATTTCCATGTTGATTGGTTGAAGTGAAGAACACAGTCATGCAGAAGTGCTATTTGCAGTCTTGTCAAACTGATGGTCTTGATCAGTCAGGGGTGGGGGAAGTCCCAGGGTGGTCAGAGAAGAAGCCTTTTTGTGTTGAGGAAGCCCCACAGGTTTTTTTTATGTATCGTTATCTCCTGGGGTAGGGAGTTTTACAGTGGATGAAATAATACTCGATAGCAGGACATCTTTGACACTAAGATATTACAGCTCCCTATTACCTCAGTGCAGTTGACTCCACTATGGCCCATCAGCAGAGATGAATACCTGCAGGTCAGGAATGCTTTTGTGCCATCCCGGAGGGGAGTTATCACAGCTGAGTCATTTGTGTAAGGAAAAAGAAACACTACTCTACCCTGCAGGATTTTCCTCTTTCCGTATCTTATTTAACACCCAGCTTGTAGCCTGAGTTGGGTATACACACCCTCAGCACCTGGGCAGCCACATTTTTAGCAAAGCACCTTGCTGAGTTTTCGAACCTTTGTCATTAAGTCTAGCCTCTCACAGGAGGTGAAGAGTGTGTGAACGAATCTAGGGGCTATGGCCTCTTCCCAGCTTTGTTTACGTCTTCTTAAACCTGAGAGGATTAGACAGTAATACCACTTTTATCGCATCTCAATTTCCCATCAGGTGGCTTAACTCACAGTCCAATTCCCTGAAATCCAGGAGGCATATTTTGGTGGGGAGTGGGTTTCAGTGATCTTAACAGTGTTTAAGGCATTATCATTTTCAGTCTCTCACAGCCACTCATGTTGGTAAAATTCTTCCCTTAGATTTAAAGACGGCAAAAACTAACTGTACGACACGGAAAATGTACCAAGAAGCTTTTTATTGAAGCGTGTTGGGTGTTCCAAGGCTACGTGGGTCTGGAAGCACACCAACCATTTGAAAATCGCGCTTTTTTTATTCTCCCGGTTACATAAGCTGTTACATATTCATTGACCATAGGATTTTTACATTAAAAGGCAATTTCTTGACCCAGAAGGGGGTGCTACCTTTTCCCCTGATTGATTGTGACGTACCCCCCTGGATTTTGTGCAGGGGGTCCCCCTGGACACAATAGGCTGCCATGTGGCAGAGAGGATATATCTTTATTTTTTTTATTTTTCCCTATTCCTGGCCATGAAATGTTCCCTGGGGTCAGGTCTAGACAGGACCATCCACCTTACTGTTTCCACGGTATACCTAAAAAGCTCTTGGAACTAATAAAAAGGAAAACCCCAACCCCTTCTGTCCTCCTACTAAATTCATTTGCTTTTAATAAAACAAGGTTATTTATTTCTCATACTCACTTGCTCCCTCCCTAGCAGGACTGGGGACAGAATCAGAAGGGTAAAAGCTACAAAACTTCTGGGTTGAGATAACAACAGTTTAATAGGGAAAGCAAAAGCCCTGCATAAGATCAAAACTGAGGAATTAATTCACTCCTTCCCATGGGCAGGCAGGTGTTAAACCATCTCCAGGAGAGCAGGGTCCCCTACCATGTGATGGTTACTTGGGAAGACAAACACCATCATTCCAGTATCCCCCACTTCCTGTTTCTTCTCCCCAGCTTTATATACTGAGCATGATCCCATATGGTATGGAACATCCCTTTGGTCAGTTGGTGTTACAACAATCCTGCACCCAAGGTTTACACCAAAAAGAGTTCAGTACTTTTTGCCTTTTGGTGTAATTCTAACCATGCTCAGGAGAGGGTGCTGTTGGATCAGGAGCAGAGCCTGCAGTTGCTCTATGGTGGCCTGCAGGAGGCGCTGTTGAGCTCTGGTGGTCGCCTAGTGTGGGCCTCGGTGCATGGGAGAAGCCGAAATGGAGATTCCCCCACCATCATTAAAAGGGGAAGGAGAAAAGGGGAAAGAGGGTTCTTGCTATGGACTCACACTGTTGATGGCTGGCTCTGTCTGGGATTTCTCCCCCCTTCACCGATGGGTACAAGCTGCTGCCAACACAGGAATGGAAGAGGGAAGGGGCAGCCTCTTCCCTCAAAGGTTACTTTGCAGATGGCCCTGGCTTCTCTGATGAAACCCAAGGCAGGTCCTGGGCTGTGAGCAGAACAGGGTGCTAGAGAATGGAGACAGACTGGGGCCAAAGGCAGCCAGATGACTCGGCCAAAAACAAAATGAATTCCAGAGCCCCACCGCACTCCACAAACACACCTTCGCTGAGTCAGGGCAAAAGTAAAGTGAGGATGCTGTTTACCAAGGAGAAGAAAATCTTACCTTCCCCCCCCTCAGTCTTCTGAGGCCTATTAGCTTGGAATGTGGGACTGCTGGCTAGTTCTTTTGTGTGTGAGTCCCCCTCCCTCATTCAACACTTTTCTTTCACAGTGGTGCAGGAGAAAAAAAATTCCAAGTTGGTTTTTCTTAGAGCAAGTAAATCTATGACAAGATGTCATAAACAGAATCACTGAATCATTTAGACTGGAAAAAATCTCCAAAATGATGAGTACAACCTCTAACTGATTTCCACCTTGTCAACTAGACCGTAGTACTGAGTGCCACATCCAGTCATTTCTTGAACACCTCCAGGGATGGTGACTCCAACACCTCCCTTGACAGGCTGTTCCAATGTTTGACAACCCTTTCTATGAAGAAATTCTTCCTGATGTCTGACCTGAACTTCCCCTGACACAGCTTGAAACTCTGTCCTCTCATCCTGTCACTAGTTGCCTGAGAGAAGAGACCAACCCCCACCTGGCTACAACCTCCTTTCAGGTAGTTGTCGAGAATGACAAAGGTCTCCCCTCATCCTCCTTTTCTCCAGGACAAACAACCCCAGATCCCTCAGTCGCTCATCATGGGACTTGCTCTCTAGATGCTTCCCAGCTCTGTTGCCTTTCTCTGAACACTCTCCAGCACCTCAATGTCTCTCTTGTAGTGAGGGGCCTAGAACTGGACACAGGACTCAAGGCGGAGCCTCACCAATACCAAGTACAGTGGGACAATCACTGCCTTGGTCCTGCTGGCCACACTGTTTTTGATACAAGCCAGGATACCATTGGCTTTCTTGGCCACCTGGCATGCTGCTGGCTCATGTTCAGCTGCTGTCAACAAGTACCCCCAGGTCATTTTCCACTTCCCAGTCACTCTTCCCCCAGCCTTAGCGCTGCCTGAGGTTGTGACCCAACGGCAGGACCCAGTACTTGACCTCGTTGTACCTTAAATGAAAATATAATGAAAAAGTGTAACAAAGCCAAATGAAATATACAATATATTGAGCAGTAAAGCACCATGCAAAACATCTAATATATCTAAGGTCTCAAGGGCAAAAGCACAGTACACAGAGATTAGAAATTGAAACTGCATGGTGGAAATTTTAAACTTTAAATAAAATATTACTTTGGCTTAATTTATTGTAAAGGTCATACGTTATCATTAGCATTCACACACATGGGTTTTAGGAATGGTACTCCCCAATTCAGTGTCCCCATCGAGACTCTCCAAACCATGTGCCACTCTAACTCTCCCACTTTCTCCTCCCCTTCTCTGCTGAGGTAGGTTGGAGAGGACAATTGGAGGCACAAAAGACAAAGGTCACGGGTTGAGATAAGAACAAAGTTACTGGAAATAGCAATGGGATAAGAAAACAAGCAGTAAAGCAACAATACTAATGATAGAGGGTATAAGAAAAGAAACTATTCACATGGGAAAACCTCCCCAACCAATAATAGACAATACTGGACAGCTTCCTCAGCCATGTTTCCTCCACTGGAAGGAACCCTTTCTCCCAGCAAGATAGTCACTTTCCCTTGGACCCAGCAGTTGTGAGGTGGTACAGAATAACCTTTGTGTCCTAGCCACGCCCCCTCCCAGATACCGCAAAAAATTAACCCTGTCCTGGCCAAAACCAGGATAAGAATAAATGACACATTTCTGTCTAAGTAAAAAGTATGGACAGGGATGATGTAGGAAAAAGTAGTAGCAGTAGGATGAACTGAATAAGTCCGCATAGGACAGGTGTCTCTTGAATAAGAGGGAAGGCTATTTCCTTGTCTTTCATTTTGATTTTGCTGAGGCTTTAAGTTTAGTAAGAAATGTGTGATCAACAGCCTAGGAGTCAGATTCCCGAAACATGTGTTGAGACCACCACCAATCAGAAAACCACATTTCTGTGGGTGTTCTCAGCAAAAACTAGGGTGGCAGGTCTTGTCTGTGACTGGTCATCCCAGCAGGGAGCAGAGGGTGCACCACTTCAATCCAGAGTCACTTCTCCAAAGCAACTCTTCTCTGCTGGATTCATATTCTGGTAGCCTGAAGGAAATATTAAAAAAAAAAACCAACACAACAAAACCAAAAACAAACCAAAACCCTTGCAGTTTTAAAACTTCACAAATTTTAAAACATGTCGAAGGCCAGATGCAGTATTTGATACTACTCTTAACTACCTTTACTTACTCAAGTTTCAGTTTACAATGTCGCATTAAGGAGTATACATAAAAATAAGCAAGACATGAAGCAATCCATATTGATGACATCTCTACAAAGTCTTAAAGAGTTGCTTAGTTCAGCAGAAAACGTACATACTTATTTCAACTATCCTTTTCCAGTACCTCCTTACAAGTACTTTTAACTCAAACTGTATTTTCCTACATTGTTTTAGAAATCTACTTGAGTCTACAGTTTTGGAATCCATCACTACAGTGGTGGAACTTAGCTGCATAAAAAAAGAATTACGAGAGTCATGTTTTTCTCATGAGGTGGGACAGTCAGCACAAAGAGAGAGATTTGCATGAGAGAGTGTTGCTTTTTCATTCCTTTTTGATTCAGCATCAGCTGTAGCTTTGAGTGCAGCAGCTGGAGTGTCTACGAGCAATTCAGAGAAGCAATGTGCTTCCTTCCAGATGCAAAGAGCATACATTTGCCAGCAAGACTATATGTGAAGATGTGTATTTTTCTGCTGTTACCTGGATAGAGTTCTGCCCTAGCTGAGCATCATTTCAAGTAAGACTACATCACTTTATTATAGCAGTCAGTTTGCTTCATACTATAAACAAAAGAGCCTTTTTAATAACAAACACAGTCAATATGGCCACTTGATAACAGGAGAAATGTCTTCATGAGATGACTGGTGTTGAAAGACATAAAAAGCCACTTTGACTCTTATTGATGACCAACAGAGTATTTCTCAACCCTATGTGATATAATAATAATGGCCAGTCTTCGCGAACGAAGATTTTGGGAAAGGTCTTTTACCTTTCAAGCCTGCGCAATGGATTTTTTAGGTGAGACACAGCATACGCTGAACTGAGCCCACCCTTTAATCCTAAGGTTCATCTGCCGGGGCCAAGCGAGCTTGGACAATGGCAGTGAGGTCCTCAGGACATAGGTTTTGTTTAGAGTGACCTTCTCATAGATGGATGGCCTCACAGGGCTAACGAGCTCCATCTGCCCGGGGGACCAGGAATTGAACCTGGGTCGCAGTGATGAGAGTGCTGCATCCTAACCACTAGGCCACCAGGGGTCCCCTATGTGATATGATGGTTAAGTAATCATACCATTGGCACTGAACTTGTTAGCAAGAGAAAATCCATGCGTACAGAAGGCCCCATATGGTTAAGTATGTATTTTTCAGAGAGAAAATTTTTAAAGATAAAATAATGAAGCAGTCTCTTTCGTTATTCATTAATGACTTCTTTATTCTGTGCAGGAAAATAATCAACCACTGAAGAGAGAATATAGAATGAGACTCGTGTGTCAGTTAGTTGCAGATTTATTTTCAGGGCTTAATATTTGTCTGGTGATGTTCATGTTAACAAATCTGCCTCCTAAAAATAATACTTTTAAAGGATTTGACACTTTCAATTATAACAGGAAATGTAATATTGCTGAAGGGAATTCTGAACATTAAGATATCACACAGTGACTTAGTAAATTTGCTGATGACACCGAGCTGTGTAGTGTAGTCAACACGCTGGAGGGAAGGGATGCCATCCAGAAGGACTTTGATAGGCTTGAGAGGGGGGCCAGTGGAAACGTCATGAATTTCAACAAATCAAAGTGCAAGGTCCTATACTTGGGTCAGGGTAATCCCAGGTAAAATTACAGGTTGGAGGAAGAAATGATTGAGAGGAGCCCTGTAGAGAAGGACTTGGGGCTGATAGTAGATGAAAAACTCAACATGAGCTGGCAGTGTGAGGTCACAGCCCAGAAAGCCAACGAAATCCTGGGCTGCATCAAAAGGAGTGTGGCCAACAGGTCAGGGGAGGTGATTCTGCCCCTCTACTCTGCTCTTGTGAGATCACACCTGGTGTCCCAAATATAAGAAGGAAATGGAACTATTGGAGCAAGTCCAGAGGAGGGCCATGGGGTCAATAGGAGGACTGGAGTACCTTTCCTATGAAGAAAATAGGCTGAGAAATTTGGGGCTGTTCAGCTGGAAGAAGAGAAGGTTGCATAGAGACTTCATGTTAACCTTTCAGTATCAAAAGGGGGCCTACAGAGAAGTTGGAGAGGGGATCTTCATCAGAAACTGTAGTGATAGACCAAGGAGTAATGAATACATATTGAAAGAGGAGAAATTTGGTTAGATATTAGGAAGAAATCTTTTACTGTGAGGGTGATGAGATGGTGGAACAGGCTGCCCAGAGAGGTTGTGGATTCCCCAACCCTGGCAGTGTTCGTGGCCAGATTGGAAAAGGCTTTGAACAACTTGGTCAAGTGAGAGGTGTCCCCGCCCAAAGCATGGGTGACTGGGACTAGATGATCCTTAAGGTTCATGACGACTCATTAGCATTCTATGATTCTATGACTCCAGATTTTGAACTCACCGTCAATGAGGACAAAGTAACAACCTGTAGCTGCAATATCGTAAAGAAGCAGTTTGGGTTTAATGACCTTTCAAAAGAAGAGTGTTTGATTTTGAGTCTTTCAGGAATCTTGTTTTGCTAAGCTAACCACATACTTGTATAGTTTACCGTGTACCTGTAGAAAGCCATTTCATTGGTTTTTTCTAACTCTGTGTAAAACTGTTTACACACCTGAAAGTAAACGCTGTAAATTACATTTTTTTTATTTCACAGTAGAAATACCTAGCAAACAATA